TTACGTCGGTCCGCGTACCGACGGACCGACCAAAGTAAGTCATAGGTATCGCCCGCTCCACAGCACTCGACTGACGCCGCGCGCGGACCGCCACAGACGACTGCACTCGAGGTGCATTCATGTTGCAATATCATACATCTTGATTTTCTTATTACATAGTAAGTCAACTAGTTAGTAGTGTTAGTAATGTGATAATTCACCTGGTTCTTCCTCAAAATCAATTTCGTCTAATTTTGGGTCCGGGAGTGGACAAGACTGACCCAACTCACCAGAAATGGGTGAGTCATCACCATTCGCATGTTGAGAAACCACTGGGGTCATGGTGGCATACCACAAGTGTACCGCGCTGATTTGAGTGTTTTTTGTGTTTTAAGACATTGTTGTTAAAAAAGAGATTTTTTTTATAATCAATATTTTTAATGCTTATTTGCTAATTAGTATCTAATATAAAAATCAAGATGTATGATATTAATAAATTACGTTTATAACATAAATAACGTGAAAAATCACAAATAATAGTTTATTTTTTGAATAACTTTTATATCCTATGTCCGATTTGAGGGATTTTTTTCTGATTTGTAATCCACTCATCGAATCCGTTAGATTGATATGTAATATAACATACTTGTCCATCAATTACGTCATTTTTTAAGTAAAATACTTTCCCGATAAAAGTGGTCACTACTCCCGAAGCCGATGTCTTAGGGACATATGGACAACATTTTCAAAGACCACTAACCATGGTCTATGGTTGCTATATTAAATGGTGACCAGGCCAGCGGGGCCAGCGTTAGCATTAGGGGTGGCTATCATTCTTTAATTTATAATTAAACAAATAAATACATATTATTCTAAAAAATATTTTATCCATGTTTACAATTATTGCATAATTCGCGGTAAAATAATATCATTTAGTTTCCTGTGAAATACATAAAACCACAAAAAAATATTGTTTGATCTTGGTAATATTTTAGGAATATATGGCAGTTTGTGTCGCGCAGTGAAAATCACTTTACAGCACATTCCAGACGCTTAACAGACAGAATAACAACGTTTTGGTCATCAATCATCAGGGCTAATTAACTTTTTCTCAATTATATAACAATGGGGGCACAGGTGGGCCACACCGGGGGTGAGGCTGTTGCAGCATATGCTAGCAATTACCAGTACCCCTCCCCACAGCCCCACCGCTACCCCATTCCCACCCCTTTTGGTGTTTGAAAAACTAGTAAACAAGTGATGCCTTAAAACGCATAGAGAGTATACTGTAAGGAGTCTGGAATATTCTGGAAAGCGCTCTTCACTGCACAACATTTCTAGAGATTTCTATACATTTCTATGCGATTCGTTCGCTTCACTGCAGAGCGTATATAAAGAGATCTCACTTTCGCTTCAAAACTCATCGAAAGGTTTGAAAAACTATTTCTCGAAACAAATCTCTGGAAAAAAGTTTTTTCGTCAAAAAAAAATATTAATTGTAAATATAATTACAATTATTTATTTGTAATAATTATTAATAATTTAAACTTATTTTTGTGTTGTATTTCTAAGTCACGAAAGATCACTACAACTATGGCTTTGAATCCATTTTTCCCGCACCGATGCGGTCGTAACTATTGGGATGTCTGGGATTGGCCGCAGTCTATCTTCGGACAGCACTTCGGCCAGGATTTGCTCGACTTCGATGACTGGCCGCTATCCCGAAGAGTTGGTGGAAGTCGTGGACAACAGTTGGCCCGACAGAGCGGTGAATCGCAGGTTTCCAACACCTCTGACCAGTTCTCCGTACGACTCGATTGCAGTCACTTTAAGCCCGAAGAGATCGAAGTGAAAACTATCGGCAATTCTGTCTCAGTTCGCGGCAAACATGAAGAGAGAAGTGATAGTCACGGATGGATTGAACGCGAGTTTACCCGTCGATACGCTCTGCCCGAGGGATGCGATGCCGAGACTGTTGTCTCACATTTGGACTCAAAGGGTGTCCTCAAAGTGGAGGCACCGAAGAAACCGTTGCCACAAATCAAAGACAACGAACGCGTGGTTCCCATCGCTATCTCTTCGGATGCGAAATAAACGCAATCAATGAAAAGTTTGGCTTCAATTCAAGTAATAATTATTTTTGTCTTAAAAATATTTTTGTTTTCAAAGTTTCTTTTTTGTTTGTTTAACTATTTATGTAATGATCTAAATATAATGATAAGTATTTCTCATTATATAACTTCCAATAATTAATTTTCAATTTAATATTTAAATATTTAAGGATTTTCTATTGTTTTTCAATTTAATTTCAATACTAATGTATTTGTGAAACAAATATCCTGTCATTTATCTAATTATCTAAACTTAATAACAATTTTGATTAAATAAATATTTATTAGATTTTATATCAAGAATTTATAATTATTGATAATAGTATTAATTCCATATTACAGTTATATGTTATTTTATAAGTACACTAGGTTATTGGTAAAATTGTTATGCATCATAACATTAATCATGTTCAGAAGAGAGGTGAGATAGTAAAGGGGCAATTTTATAATGACGTGGTTATTGTTCACCAAGTATTATTTACAGTAAATGCTGCTATTTTTACATTAATAATACATGAATTACATAGCAGTGGTTCAATGCCATATGCCTTCAGATGCCTAAATATCCCTCTGTAGATCATGTTACATGATCAGTGATCACTTATTTTCAGTCATACAATAGATTTTTATAATGGTCAATTTATTAAAATGCAATTTAATATAAAAAGGTATTAACAAATATATTTTAATGACAAATTTTAAATGACAAAAGGACTTTTTTGGGCTATCATACACTTA